CCTACACGAGATGAGGCAGGATAAAGAGGGATAATCCCCCTCGATCCCAAATCATTGAGGCCAATTTCTAGCCATAGAATAATGGCGGCGGTTAGAAGATAATCCGCAAATCGTTCTGATAGTTTTCAAACAGGTTCGATTCTTATTTGGAACAGAAAACTGATTGTTTACTAATCGTTAGTAACTCTGGTTGGAACGCATTTAAGTTACTGCGCAGAATCCTGACTGTAAGAAACTGTTTATGACGCTGGTTGGAACAACGAGCCGGCGAAGCAAGAAGAGCGCCAGAAGAAAGGGCCCTAGCCGGCGGGGCCCTGCCAGGACAAAAAGAGGTCCCACAAAGCGCCTACATCGGCCGCATTTGCGGCCGGGGTAGACGACTGATGGGGCCCACCTACGAAGGCTGTCCAGGCCTACACGAGATGAGGCAGGATAAAGAGGGATAATCCCCCTCGATCCCAAATCATTGAGGCCAATTTCTAGCCATGGATAATGGCGCGCGCCGTAAGCAAGGTTTACAGAATATTAATTATTCTGTAAACTTTGCCGTAAGTGTGCTTCCTCCATCTGGTATATTTTATATTATGCTCAAAGGTTAACAATATAAAAGGAAAGCTTTGATTCAGAGCCTCTGGTAGTCTGGTACATAAGTGAGTTCACACGAAAGCAGCTCATGCTGCTCATGGTCCTGAACTGGGGTGCTTTCGTTTTGGTAAAGACTGTACCCTTCAGCCAAGGATTTTATACATTTTGTATTAAATCCTTGCCCTTCAGCAAGTAATATCAGTTCAGAGTAACTCTAACTTGCTATTAGCTGCTGATAGCATTATTGCCAAATCGAAAGGCCCTCAGGAGGCTGCCTTTGATCGCGGACAGCTGTGTTTTTAATATTTTGTGAGGTTACGTTGTGGTTATCTTTTGTGTTTAAATTTCTAGGATTTCTTTTGAAATCCAATTTTCATCAATTTATTTAGTTTTTAAATGGATTCAAAAACAAATAGCAAAAGCGACTTCACTGGTATGAAATTTTTTAATTATATACTAAATTTTATCAACAATGTAATAAAATTAATCTTTTAGATGTGAAGGAAAGTGAAGATTCGGATGAATATGAAAGTGGATTTTCATATCAGGAAGAGTCATCAGAGAGTGAACCAGAACTTGAGTGTGACCTTTGGGATGACGACTGCAAAATTATTCCAAAAACTGTTTCTTCCTTTATAACAGGTTGTAAGTCACAATTTAATGATTTTATAGGTATAATCTTTATTACAATTCCTGTATACCATCAGAGTAACTGAATAAAAGTAATTTTGTTTAAAATTTGAGGAATTTTAAACTTACGAAAAGAATTGTTTGCAACGTGCTACAAAATATCACATTCTTAAATATATGAAACTAACTAAAATGTTACTACATAAAATATATTTATGAAATAATGAATGTAATAAATAAATTTTACTATTCATGAAGATAATATTAGATTGTAATTTTTAAGCACAGATCATTTGATGCCTACATGTGGACGTTGCCCAGACATACAACCAAAAAAAAAACAGAAAATAGCACCAGAGTTGAATCCAATTTTATTAAGCAGTTCATTCATGGAAACATTCAGAGAAAACTGGAACAAAAATATGAAATTACTTGATGATAACATTGAACTAATTAATGTTCCGTTCAAAGTATGCGTTGTTAATAACCTTATTGATAATGTGCATTTCTTAGAATGTATAAGACAAGAATTTTACGAGTTAGACTGGAACATAAGAAATATGGACTTGTATGAATTTTTTCAGTCAAAAGATCTAAAATATTTAAATTATGAATATGTGACAAGCATACTTAATTTTCTGAAAACAGACGTAATGAACTGGGTAAGAGGTATTTTGGTTTTTATTAACTTTATTATTTACATTAAAAACTTCTTTAGGTAGCTAATTTAACAGGACTAAATCTGACACACATTTCGGCAACATGTAGTCTGTACAGTAATACAGACTATCTGTTGGTGCACGATGATCAAAGAGAGGATCGATTGGTTGCTTTTGTATTATACTTGTCAAAGGATTGGAGTGAATCTAACGGAGGAGCTTTGCAGCTTTTTAATAAAGACGAATGTGGCCATCCACTAAAAAATGTAAGAAGTATTTATCCATCCAATAACCAACTGGTATTTTTCCCTGTAACTAACGACTCGTATCATCAGGTAGATATTTCAATCCGTTTTTGTTGCATTGATTAATTTCAATTTTTAATTTACAAAAATAAAAATCATAAACTATATTTTAGGTAGAAGAGGTGACAAGCTTAAATAATTGTAGATTAAGCATAAATGGATGGTTTCATACAAAATATCCGCCAATTTTTCAGACACCGCCATACAAACCTTTAGAAAATGGATTATACAGTAAAAACTTTATAAAAGCCAAAGATGTAGATATAGAATTAGTATCTTGGATTAATGAGGATTACTTAGAGATGAAAGCCGTAAAACTAATTCAGAAACATATCGAGGAAAATTCAGAAATTTCATTAAGAAATTTTTTCAAAAAGGAATCTTTTAATGAAATCGTACAAAGTTTAAATAACAAAGGTAAAAATAATAATTCCTAACTGCATAATAAAAAGTATCCAAATTAAATAAAAATTGTAGATATATGTTGGGTGAAGATTGGCCCTCTTAATAGGTATTGTTATGAAGTTATGGATACTAAAAGTGTACCACATACTATTGAGAGATTTATAAGTTTATTTCAGTCTACCAAAATGTTTAGTCTCCTCCAAAAATATACCGATTTAGATTTAGCAGGTACAAATGCATCGATGAAGTTTGAATTACAAAGATGGACTCCTGGATGTTATTCTGTAAGTAATAGTAACTGCAATAATGTTTAGTAAATTTTCTAATAAACAATAATTACGTTCTCCTTTGATTGAGAAAACTAAATTATGTAATTAAAACAATAAATATGCTTTTTCAGTTGCTAACGGACTACAACTGGCAGGAAAAAAATGAATTGGATCTGATAATCTATTTCGGTTGTTCTAAAGCTTCAGATGTTATTGGGGCTCGAACCCAATATGTAACAATAGAAGATGAAATACAAAATGCCCTCATCACTTTGGATCCTGAAGAAAACAACTTAAATGTAGTGTATCGAGATTCTGCTAGATTTACCAAGTATTTCGGTAAACAAAGTAAGTGTCAATGTTTTTATACTTTAATTTGTTCATATTCTGAATAAAAGTTATTGGAGTACAAATTTACAACTTACCTTTTTCCCTATTAAATAATATATTTTACTTATACTGAGATTGACATGTGAAATTAAATTTGTGCAAGATAAATTTGCTGCATAAGCCCTTCATAAAAACAAAAAACATTTCCAGATAGACAGAAGAACCAAGGAATATTTTTCCTTAACATTTTCATCAGAATTATAAAGCCGGGTACTCATATGCGCTCCGTATCTGCATTTGTATCATGTATGTATTTGGCGATCCGAGTGTCTATCGGTAAACGTCACGAACACAAAGAGGAGCAATCGAATAGTGTGCTAGTTCGTAGTAGGAGCACAAGTTAGTACATGTCAGTGTATCAGTCTGCGATGCGGTATTTATTCTGTAAACTTTGGGTACAATCAAGGAATGAAGAGAAGAAAGGTACTTAGATTTGATCGAAGCATACAAAAATTGATTAAATATACAAAATCTGAAGGATGCATGTATGAAATTTCTGTAATGTCTGCTGATTGATTAAATTTCAAATATGAAAGTAAAACAGAGCAAAACCTCCGTGGACGTTTATAATCTTCCACTATATTATTTATAAATATACAGGGTGGCACAAAAGTATGGAATCCCTGAATAACTCGTCAGGAGTGCATTTTCTTGAAAAATTATAAATACAAAAGTTTTAGGATTTTTCCCTGGCTATTCAATGGCGCCCTTGTATTCGACCTTGACTTTGACCTTCAAGGTCAAAATTGATTTTTCAAATGGGAACCTCTACTTTTTATTGCAGATTTGGAAAAGCAGGAAATTTTACGTCCAAATATGGTCTTGACCATGACTTTGGCATTGACCTTCAAGGTCAAATGTGGGTCGACTTCCAAAAATCCCGGTACGGCAGTACTTTCGAAGAATACATTTTGGGAAAAAATTTTCAGACAACATTGTAAGGATTTTTCCCTGGCCATCTGATGGTGACCTTGGATTTGACCTTGGCTTTGACCTTCAATTTCATTTGAAGGTCCAGTTAAGTTTATTAAATGGTAACTCCTATTTTTTATTGCAATTTGAAAAGAGCAAGGTCATTGTCAGAGTCATGGTCAAGACCATATTAGAACGTAAAATTTTCTGCTCTTTCCGAATCCTCAATAAAAAATAGGGGTTCCCATTTAAAAAATCAATTTTGACCTTGAAATGAACTTGAAGGTCAAAGTCAAGCTCGAATACAAGGGCGTCATTGATTAGCCAGGGAAAAATCCAAAAACTTTTGTATTTATCATTTTCCAAGAAAATTCACTCCTGACGAGTTATTCAGGGGTTTCCATACTTTTGTGCCACCCTGTATAGTACTTGCTATCATAATATATTTGTCAGGAGACGACGCATTTTTGAGAGCAGTTCGGTATAAACACAAATATATTCAGTTGATGTACGAGCTAAGTGGAGCCTAGCGACTTGGCATTCATGTCTCATTGATATACAGGGTTAGAACTATTTAAAGGGAGACTACAGGGATATCGGAAACCGTTAGTCATACAGGGTGACTAAATTACAAAAAAGTTGCACAATTATGGGGCGAGTGTTTTGGTGAAAACAGATCCAAGATATCTTCGATAGTTTCTGAGATATCTCGAAAAAAGTGAAAATATCGATTTTCTATTTTTCGTTATAACTCATTTGTTTTTTAAGATAGCATTATCCAACATGGCGATTTCAATGGTGAGTTCAGATTTTTTCTATCTTCCATTGTTTCAGAGTCGCGATAGTCAACTTTTTTTTTCTTATGGACGCCATATTGATTCTTCTCATGGATGGATAAAGAAAAAAAATACGAATTCAACGATGTATCACACTTTACAAAAATATCCTGTCTGCCTGCAGCAATTTGAATTTCTTTTTAATTTTTCTGAAATATGTAGTAGGCCGATGTCCGAATTGTCATTTTCTTTAGTGTAAAACATAACATGGTGTTCCATTTAAATTTATCAAAGTTAATATCCCGGGCCATTTTGTTTGAACTTCATTTGTTTTTCTACATCATTTTCGAAAACTTCATAAAAAATAGTGCAACTTTTGTATTTCACATTTTTTTATAACATAAAACAAAAAAGTTAAAGGGGGGGTCAAAATATAGTGAATCACCTTGTACATTAAATGGGCCTAAGTACTTGGACCTTCTACAAAATTATGTAGAGGAATTTCTCCAAACATTGCCGGTTATGCGTTATGTGGAATGATGATATCGGCATGATGGTGCTCCAGCACATAGTACCTTGCAAGTGAAACAATTTTTAAATAACAGATTGGGTGAACAATGGATTGAGAGAGATGGACTCATTAATTGGCCGGCCAGAATTCCGGACATGAATCCCATGGATTATTTTGACTCCCCCCCTTAATTCTTTTGTTTTAAGAGTTATAAAAAAAAAATGTGAAATACAAAAGTTGCACTATATTTTATGAAGTTTTCGAAAATGATTTAGAAAAACAAATAAAGTTCAAACAAAATGGCCCGGGATATTAACTTTGTTAATTTAAATGGAACACCATGTTATGTTTTACACTGAAGAAAATGACAATTCGGACATCAGCCTACTATTTCAGAAAAATTAAAAAGAAATTCAAATTGCTGCAGGCAGACAGGATATTTTTGTAAAGTGGGATACATCGTTGAATTCGTATTTTTTTTCCTTATCCATCCATAAGAACCAATATGGCGTCCATAAGAAAAAAAAAAAGTTGACTATCGCGACTCTGAAACAATGGAAGATAGAAAAAATCTGAACTCACCATTACAATCGCCATGTTGGATAATGCCTAGATACAAAATTTCGTGAGGCTATCTTAAAAAACAAATGAGTTATAACGAAAAATAGAAAATCGATATTTTCACTTTTTTCGAGNTTGTGTAAGCAATATTAAGCAAACAGAAGATCTCTACCCTACGAAAAAATTGGAGTTAAGTAAAATCTCCAACATAGGGGTTGCTAGTCTTGTGACGTCGATGCTTAGCCATAGTAGCAAATAGGCCAAGGAAAATAAACAGATTAAAAATATATATATTTAGTAGATTTATTCAAAAAATCATCTTGATTTCATAATTTTAATAAACGAGGGCTCTTCATAAAGCAAATTCCGCTGGCATCTGCATAAGGAATTAGTGGTTGGAGTGTCATGTAATATGTAAGTAAGCAGAGGTAGTATGACTAATCTGACGCAGACAAGATATTAAGGAACTAGTCATTATAGAGTAGAGTGGCGCTTTTATATCTATTAAGATAAAATTTTAAGTAGGGGTGGGGTCACTTTTTTAGGGGAACAATACGCGTTTCCCAGAATAGTAATCTGAAATTGATATATTTTTTAATCAAAGGAATAGTCAAGTTATAAACTCTTATGTACATTTCCATTGCGAAGCATCTAAACTCAGTTGTATGTATATACATGTGTCACCTGTTATCATCTTTTTAAACCAATTGTATGAAACTAACAGCTGCAGAAAGCGAACCTGCAATGGAAAATAATTTGATAAAAACAGATCGCTTTTGTATGAATGTAGAAATCTTTTGCATAATCTATTAAACATTAGCTTGTATTAGTATGCATATTATGTGCATGTGTGTAACTGTGATATTTTTTTAATGATTTCAGTTTTTAATAAAAAATAGTCATATTTATAAAGCATTGTGTTTAGTTTTTGAATAGCGGTGTCAATGACTCCCGACAATGACTTATAGTAGGATCATATTCGATACAAAGTAGAGCAAAAAATTGTCAGTCTTTTATCAAAGGAAAATCGTGTCATCATTTTTAGGACGTGTAAGATGATCCATTTCAAATTTAAAATGAAACTGAATGTAAAATCTGAAATACTGCATCACACATTGTGTTCTGGTAGTAGCTGTAGTCACGCAGGTGCATCGAGTGTACGAAGTGGTCAGTTATACGTCAAAGACTAACCTGGCGAGCTTGGTCATAAATCAGAAACCGCCTCCAAAAAAACAAGTAAACAGTGGTGCATACAGAAGTAAATTGTAGTACACATGTGGAATTTAAAAAACAAATTGGATTTATAATAAATTACATTTAAAATAAATAGTTTATGAGAATAAAGGAATTTTTATAGGAACAGGGGTGTCACATGTAAACTGATCCCTTTATCCCTTCATAATGCATAAATTATTCAATTTGTAAACCCCTTAAAACCGTACTGTACTGGATCCCTTGACAGGCAATGATTTATTACTTTGCATCGAATATGATCCTACTATAGTTTACACGAATTACATATCAAACCAGCTGATGTGATATATGTAACAGAAAGCAAAATGTGCAGAAAAAAAAATGGCTTAAATCAGGGTCGCGCCAAGGGTAGCTGCTGCCGAGGAGCGGAACGTTTGCTGTCGCCTTAGCAGCATTCTAGGTTAATCACCGAATAATGGAGCAATAAAATAAATATGGAAACATACATTTATAATAATAAAAATAAATGTAATTTTCTTCAATTAACAAAAAACAATATTAAAAAAAACAAAAACAGGAACTTAAATAGTCTTATAAATAACACAAAACTAAATACATTTATAATACAAAATACATGTATAAAATTAACAAGAACACATAAAATGATGCTCAGATTAATTTAAATAGTATTTCGTCATTATCCAAAAAAAAATTTTTTGGGCCTGTCATTTTGCAAATTCCTCAACCAAATCAGACATCCTATCTAGATTTTTTGAAATTTGACTTTCAAAATCTATTATAGCTAAATGAGAAAGTCTATCTTGTGTCATGCTATACTCCACGGTCGAAATTATAGATCGCTAGCTTTTGGACTAGTAAGGGGGATGAAGCGTGCCGGGAACGAAAATCCATTGACGTGTCTGCGTAAAAGGCAACAAGATATAGAAAATAATGAAAAAAGATAATAAAACATAACATCTAATATTTTTTTACGGTTTGCTATAACAGGCACTTTGATCCATTTTAATTATTACAGCATTTTAAAACGTCCCAATTGTGTTTTTTTTTTAATTTATAAATTTATTATAGCCATGGAATTAGACCCCTCGTCTAGGCTTATATATGACGTTTCTCAGAACGGGTTAAATCAAGTCCGTTTACACCCACTAAAAAAGCATTTCCCTATTCCCTACCAAGTGCAAAAGACAGAGATAGAATATAGATCGACGTTCAGTGTAACTCGGTCTCTAGACAATTATAGATTCTATCGATGTGCGTAGCGAGCGGCACAAAGATAAATAATATTGAACCGTATAAAAATCATTTTATATTTTATACGCATTATGGTAATAGTGTTTTTATATTATGTCTTAGTCACTCTTTACAATTTCGACCGCGAGTATAGGTAATTTTTTATCTTTAATTTTGAGAAAGATATCTCGCCAGAGGCTACAGGTATGGTCAATTATATTCTCGACTCCCTGGAACGCGGCGCCCGGTTGCCACACACCCCTTGCACGCCCGGGTTGGCACAGCACTGGCTAATATTTGTTAAAAGAGAACGGCCCAATATGTCACCGCTTCATTTTATTACCCTTATTTTAGTTTTCAATTTATCACTTTACGAAGTGTTTGTAATACATTAGTTTATTACATGAACTATTAAAGCAAAATTTGTCTTTATTTTTAATCTTAAAGTCAAACTAGGAACTTTTTCAAACATATCAATTAAAAATTAGTAATCATAGTAAACATTTTTAAAGAAATATATTAAAAATACTTTGGTTTTAATATTTTGGCAACACAAAAGATGCCGGTAGCCCTGGACACAGTAGTCAATGGTAGCCCAATTGTTTCTTGGCCTTACAAACATCAGAATAATAATGAATATCTAAAGTCCATATGAACACAGTCTTCTTGTTTCACCACATATGATGCATCCGATCTCTTTTCCTTGATCTTTGGAAGATTGAAATTTTTTGTTATCTTAGTCTTTTTAGTGCTTTTGCCTTTTTGTTTTTTTGCTTCGTTCTTTTTATTGCCTTTATACTTTTCTATATGTTCCCTACTTTTTTTATATTGTGAAGAGATCAAAATTTTGCTATTTTAGGTTTTCGAGCCCGTGTTTTTTTGATACGTCTGGAAATGGTAACAACAGATTTATTAAATCTGTTGTGCTAGTTAAAGGCACCGGTTCAGTTGCAGGCAATGTAAAACTAATGGAAGGTACTGGCGATGAAGCATTGGCTGCTGAAGGCTGATTAGGAATATTTTTCCTCCATTATTTCTCCCCTTAAATTTCGGCAAATTTCTACAATAGATTTTAAAATAATTTTCATAAATAAACAAATTGACGAAGCAGTTGTAGTTCATTAAAAGAAAATCAAAACTTAAAATAATGTCCGGGGGTACCGATCACTATCATGCAACATTTTTAGTCACAACTTAAATTATACAAGAAATGTAAAAAATACTATTACAAACTTTAAAAATATAAAATTTCCTACAACTTCAAGCAACAGACAAGTACGCGTACTTACTTATTATGCTCGATAACTTATAACCAATTTGAAAGGAGCAACGAAAAATTTTTGTCGGGAACAAAACACGCACTAGCATTCAATTCACTAAGTGCCCGCACCACATCTGAGTTGTATTTGTATTTACTCTATAGGACGCATAATTAAAATTAAGTTTTACCTACACGTTATTGGTTTCTTAGAAATTTAAAATATGTCCACGGTTACCCGCCGTTCGGGGCTATCCGACTTTCCCCTATTTAATGAAATTTTGTGTAGTGTAAATGTATAACTTTACAGTTATTTATTTAAATGATGGTTCAGTGCATATTTGTACATCTTCATTGTTAAATTTTTGTGTAATATAAAAAATATGTATACAAATCAAGAAAGATGAAATTTGACAACTCATGCCATAGCTCCCAGCTCTCACTTGGATATGTCCTCACGATTAATGCGTGTAGTTGCTTGAAGTTACACTAACTTGTTTATTATATGAAAATTACGAGAAAAAAAAATCAATTTTCACTGCAGAATCTGAGAAAACAAACTTGTATTTCTAATGATCAAAGGTAGCCTCCATATAAATACGCTCAGTTACATCTTGTATTGCAAATGTCTCGCAATCAGTGGGAGATATTAAAGCTGTCTTTCTTCTCAATGTGTCTGTTTCTTTGTCAGATTATGACATCTCCTTTGCATTCCAACCACTAGAGTCCTAGATGGACGTCATCGGAACTATTTTCTGCACGATTCTAGTGTATTTTTATTCGGATTAAACCCACAAAAAACAAAAATTGTATTCATTCATTTTTATTATTTACAAAATGTAGTTATAAAAATAACATATACTTTAACATTATTAAAAACATTAAATATTTTTGCAGAATGTAATTATTTACAAAATCCTCAGTTGTGTCGTTTCATCATATAATAAAAGCATACTCGTATCCGGTATTCACTGTAATAGCCTTAATAGTATATAGAACAAGTATATTCAAAACAAGCCTTCCATATTGCACTTCAAGATTGTTAATAGTTTTCGTTGGAGCTCTTTTAACAGAGTTTGCATGAATATTAACAAAATATCTAAGAAATTAGTAGCATTGACTAAGTATTTCAATATTCCATCGATTTTTTAAAAAATTAGAAGATTAATGAACTCAGAACCAGAAAGGAACATGATGGATTTACAGTTTATCTGTTTAAAGACAGAGTGATTCAATTAATCAGAAAATCAAAATATAATCCGCATTTGCTGTGGGGTGTCAACAAGTTACATGTTGTTAAAATTGCACCGAACGTCAAGAAGATGGTAAAAAAATTGGAATCGTAACTCGGCACTTAGTGTCCCCACGCACACATTTGGCAAGAAGACATTTACATCCGCTTAACTCCTGCACACCGGACATTTGGCAACCAAATTCACCTTTTGTCTTAGTCCGCTTTCTATCACGCACAATAAACTTTGCAGGCCAAAAGAGACAATATCACTTGATTACTTTAATGAATGAGATATAAATTAAATATGGGCAGATCTATAATTGTACTTGGTATGTTTGGACACATTTTTAGTTAACACTTACCGCATCTTGAAAATAAACAAACCTTAGACAATATTGCTCATCTCCACAATATGGCTGTCTAACAAATGGCTGTCTAACAATTTGCATTTTAAAATCATCGATATATCTGCATATCATCACTAACTTTAAATTTGGTTAGTTCGAATTAAATTGTACACTACACTGGCCATGAATACTGAAAAAATAAACATGTACCTTGCGTCTCACTTATTTTGTGTTTAAGTAAAACTTGGAGTCTTTTATTATTGTAATAATACTGACTAGATAATTTTCAAAGTTTAAAAACTATATTGTACTTTTGCAAAAAAAATGCAACGAATAACTATGGAACTGCTTCCAAATGAGATTTGTAAAGGTTTAATGAAAAGTGGAACTACATAGGATACGATAAGTTACAAATGGACTTTTTTTCACAAATTTCTATTTTGCTCTAAATTAATGGTATTTTATGTGTGCAATGCAATATTTACCAACATTGTACCAAGGTAAACAGTAGAAAAATCAATTTCCTACAGCCGCAGTATTCAATCAACGAATAAGGGCAAAGCAATGTTGCCAAATCATGCCAATTGACACGTTACTTTGCAAGGTTATTGATACTGTGGAATATTAATATAAATTAAATAAATCTTTATTGATGTAATTGTGACAACCCCACACGTTTGTTTTTTGTTTGATTTGTTCTCTTTACTGGGAAATTGAAATGTGATATAAATATTAATGCCGCTTTAAATTAGGAGATACTAATAAATACCTTTCAATACTCCTGTATAGTAAATTAATTGCTAATTTGGACAATGCATACTTGTAAAAATCCAAGGGCTCCAAGAAATAACATGGCTTAAAATCTGCAATTTCCTTCTATTTTAAAACATTACATGTTACATTTTAAAAGTAAAAACTCTATCTGGTTTAATAGACTATATAAAATTTATATCAGTCTTTAAAGTCCCCTGACCATCACAGCCTTTTAATATTACATTCCTTCATACCTAATGCCAATTGTTTGTGTATTCCGATTTGTATTTGTTGTTAGTAACATCGTTGTCATAATTTGGTAAGAAATTAACGTTAATAGTTACGGGATGCAATACCACATTTTGCATTGCAGGCACGACCTCCAGTATGTCATAATTTTGTAGAAACGGTAGTAATGTTTTGTAATCAATAGTTAATGGCACGTAATATGAACCTTTTGCATGTAGGACGAATATAGGAACATTAAAATTGTGTTTTAGATCGTTTTGCAGGAAATTCCTTATATTTGGCGAGTACCTTTGCATAATGTCATTTCTAGGCGGTTCTAGCTTGGTGTGGTTATTGGTCGACACTGTGCTATCTGATGGAGACCTTCGGTGGGTGTTGTCGCTGTCCGAGATTCTGGTACACAGTTCGCTACTTGGAGGAGAACTGTGACTGGAACTAAATAAATACATACACTTATAATACCATAACAGGCTATTCTTTGTAAACAAACTTTCAAGAACTTCTAACGCAAAATAATGTCACTGTTTTATTTGAAAATCGTAAATTTAAAAGCTTAATGTTTTATTTTGACTGCAAAGCAGAATGAGCCGTTACAAAATGTGGAATATTTATTAATACCTCTTTTAAAGAATTATTTGTTTCTAAATGAATTTTGACAAAAGTTTTAGATTTTTTGTTGCTGCAATGTAACGTTTTTTAATTTCAATTTTTTATTTGTGAAGTTAGTTTATTATTACCAAAATAAACAAGTCAATTTTTTTTCTTTGAATAGAACATTTTTTGTGTATGGCAATTAACATTTTTATGGGGTAATAAAAATTTTTTTATTTCTTTGTTTAAATTATTCCAGAATCAAATGGTCTATTGTTCATTATAGATTTGTTACTATAAGATTTGTTATACTTATCCACCCAGCATACAAATATTACAAAGTATTACCCTCTGCACAATATTTGCAATATTATGTAATAATGATCTATTTCATTTTTTTTTTTTTGGAGCTTTAACTCATCTTTAAATTAAAAACAACTCCCTGTTATTCTTTGCACGACTTGTTTGATCTGTATCTTAATTTTTATTTTTATTTGCTTTTAGTGCTTCATTTTTTATGTCCAATTTCTTTTTTTTTTCTTTATGTATATTGCTACAATATTTGGTTTATATTATGTTCTGCTTATTCTGTTATTGGGCTGTTGTGGCAGAATTTATATAAAAAAAAAACAAGAAAATATAAAAATATTCCTCAAAAAAATTTTGTCTGTTAACAAAAATATGGACGTTTCCATATAAGTTCAGCAAATTGAAAAACTGGTAATATTTCAGATTAATTTTATTATCCTCCATCCCTCAGTTCTTCCTCTAAATCAGGGGATGATAAAAACAGCTCCTAAAAAGGAGTTTTTTGTTTTAGTAATGCTTTTATTCGTGTTCAGCGACAACAAAAACCTTTTATGCATATTTTCTTTAATTTTAATTTTTCTACACCCTCACCCCTCACTTCCACCCCTAAAATAGGGATGAAAATATTTTCATTAATTTTTCCTTAACTTGTTTCAATTGAGCATTGATTCCACCAAATTGTGTCTTAATTTCACTGTATTTATCGAAGATATAAGATTTCTGAACAAAGAAAATCGATTTTCACTTTTTTCACCTATTCACCCTTCATTTCCACCCCCAAAATAGGGGATGATGACATTCACAATCATTTTCCCTAAATCTGCATCAAATAAGCTTTGATTTAAAAAAAAATGTAAAAGGATTCGTTAATTCTTCTTCGATTTTGACATAAAAAAATGCCGTTTGATCGATAGTGCGGCCCAACTTCCACAACTGTGAGCGATGTCAACAATTATGAAAGTGACAGACTCTCTCATCCCGTATATCTAATACTAATACATTACAAATATTCGCCTAAATTTATTCCACTTTCATATTTTTTATGCCAATGATTCATACAAAAATAAAATATGTAGAGCTAATTTTAACATTAAAGGGCAATATTATAAAAGTGGGTAAACACCCCATTGCTTGATGTTTGAATAAGAAAATATTTCATTCGTCTAAACAAAATACAAGCAAAATTATGACTCGACACAGTGAAAAAAATAGATTCTAAAAAAGATGAGAATAAGAAAACGGAACCAATCAAAAACAAAATATTTACCTCTGATTTTCTGTACTTGTAACAGAATTTCTTCTTCCATTGTCGATCTTCTGCCTCTTCGGATTCTCTTGACCGCCACTGTTCATATCTTGAGTGAACCTAAGCTTAATATTAGTTTTATATTTATAGGAAACCCCATTAGCCTCTGGATGTTTTTCATAATCAGATTCAGAGGACTGAGTATGATTGTTAGTTCTAACACTGTACGAATTATTATTGTTTTGTTCGGGTTCACTTTTCGCCACTGGATATTCAGTTACTTTTAACTGGATATTATTCCTAACCGTTTCATGGGGATTTTGCAATGGTACAATGTGTTCGGTAGTCGCTACTGGGGTCCTATTTTGATTGACGTGCGGAGTCCTTGATATTGATTCGCAGTGCTTCTGTAAGTGGTTTAATAATCGTACACATATAGCCTCACGTGGAAAATGGCCTTCCACTTCTACCATGAACCTCATAGCCTCCGACATGCATTCTTGGTACCCCAACCTAAAATATTTGTTACTTTACAAATTGTTAAAATGGATTTATTACATATAGTATGTTTTTTAAGTCCTTGGACTATTTTAGATCAAAAAGTCTAAAGCAATTAGTTTTCAAAATGCAGGGTGTTGCAGTTAAAAAAACTCTCAATTATTCAATTATCTTCAAAGACCTTTGATGTACACAGATGCAAGATTGGTTAGTAATTTACTTACTTTAAAGTAAAATTCATTAAACTGGTTTACAAATGTATCAACCAGTGGCAGAAATACTGGGAGGTGCTATCATTAAGAATTCTATAATTTCAACATCACTGAATATTTTGGAAATTCAATAAAAGCTTTAACAATTGGTATTTCTAATAAAGGTGTCTTTCGTTTGACATCATACAGTTAAACTAATTTAGAAAAATTAAACTGTTCATTTCATAAAAAAAAGTGTACTGAAATTTCGTTTCTCTAAATACAATTTTAAATACAATGCAACCATAGCAAAAATAAATAAATCTGGAATTCGAGGGAAGCAGTTTCAAAAATTAAATTTTTAGGCAATGATTTTTTTTTGTCTTTGATCACAAAATTTCTACATACATATATTTTTTGGAGTGAACAGTAGTAAAAATATTTTTGATTTAATCAACAGTGATGGTAAACTTATTTTAAACTCAAAAAAATAACTTTGACGAATAAAGTAAAGTAAGAGATACCCTTTTTCATAGGAATTAAAAGTGTTTCTTCATTTTTCAAAACACTCAGTGACATTGAAAGGACTTATTATAATGTTTAATTAAATGTACTGTATCATTAGCAAAAGCTTCATTAATCTAATTAAAACATTTTTAGAGATAAATGTGATCTTTTTTTAAAACTGAGTATGGCCTAAGAAAACACTGTATAGAACAAATTAGAAACATACATTTTTAAGAACCTCTGAATCTTCTTATTTATTTTAAAAATAAATCATGTTCAAGTATTATTCTTTCACTCTTAGAGAGGCTTACTATACAGTTGAATAAATCGAACTACTCTAAATACAATGTAATCACTAAAAGTTCAAAATAATCATCGACTCAAAAATCTGGAAGATTCCAGAAGTTTGCAATTGCATGCCAATGAATTCTCCAAACCTGTCATCTGAACACATGCACCACACATTCTTTCACTTCGAAAATCGTAGCTTCTTTTGAATCACGGGAAAAATTGTGTGTACTATAATCATGATCTGCAAGGTTTTCTGGGGTTCTTTTTACCGGAATGGAATGTACAATACAAATGCACACTAGTGGATCACAAGCATGCTTTCCAAAATACTTAGTGGCATCGAAATTTTTGCAGTTCTTAGTTTCGTCATCTCCCGTCACTGGTTGATATAATTTTTAGAGTTTCATTAACATATGTTGCACATCTTTCGAGATATTTACATAGATGTGATATTTTTCACAAACTTTAACGCCCTGCATCTTGAAAACTAAGGTGTTAAGGATACAATATAGCATGTTCATAAGAAGTTTTCTCCTTGAAATGATCTAAAGAATCGTCACCTCTATTGTTGCAAAATACTTAAAGACTACACTATATAGTGTTAAAATTATCTGAAAATTACCGATAATGTTCAGTAGGATTCCCATGTTCCTGCTGTAAATATTTCATATGTTTAATTGCCATTTCAATAATTTCTGTTTTCTCGATCCTTCCTCTTCCTTTTTTCAAATATTCAGTGGGTATTAGGCGGGACAAATCTGCGAGGCAGTTATTCATTCTATCTCTCCTCCTCTTTTCTATTATTCGATGGGACATTGGGTCTTGCTAGCAAAAAAATTATACCTTCAAAGTGTCTTACTTTAAGGGCCATCTCAAAATCTAGCTCTAGCTAAAATCAGTTACTAAAATAGAGAACCTCAACCACAAGTTGCAGAAAGCACAGAAGCATTAACAGATATGTTAACAATTAAAATTATTGTTTTTTCAACGTAACATTTTCAATAAAACTTTTGTTGTTCAATTTCTCTTTTATTTTTAAATCATTTTTAAAGAACCGGTTACACAGTTTTTATCAATAATAAGAGCTAACTGCTACGATTATGTAAGATTGAAAACAAAAAATGAACTTTTGTAATCTTATCAATTTTATAAAAAAGCGTAAAATTAAAAGCATATTTATTAAAATTATTATCACAATCCAATAAACTTTGCATTCTGAGAATTTTGAGCAAACTTTAATCATCAGATAAAAACTAATCGATCATTATTAAAATTAACAAGTAAAAAGGTAGGTACCTAGTGACGTTTTCATTTTTATGTATATTACTTTAGAATATTGTAATATTCTTTTATTAAAAGTATAAGTAATAAAAAACAATTTCTTCAATCCATTAAAGTAAAATTCTGAATATTTTACTGGTTATTGACAGCTTAATAATGGATTACGAACTAGCTGATATTACCTAAAAAAGTTAAATGGGAAAGATTTTACTACAGATTTTAATCTTATTTTTTTTATCGGGTATTATAACTTGCAAAAGATCCTTTCAGAAATGTGGCATGTCACTAAAAAATTTGTGCAATTTGGAAAATAAAATTAAATAAATTTTCCTCCAGTCAAAATTAATATAATGACTGTGTTGCATCAATTTTAAAAGAAAAAGTATCACATGCTACACAGACAAAGATAATAAATCAAATACATACCCTTGCGACTTTATTCTTCTTATAAGGTCCATATTCACAATCGTCTTCACTACATGTCGCAGTGGAAAAATTTAAATTTCTGAAATTATGGACAAGTTTTTATTATGTTTTAATATTGGCAGTTGCAAAAAATTGGAGTGATTATATGTTGATAAAAAATCAGATCCATAATCTTTTTAGAAAATGATTTATATGGTCATATAGTGAAAGTCCAGTCTTTTTCATGAGTGAACAAATTGTCGTTAAGTTACTAATTATTTCTTTAGTTGTTTCCACATGGCTACACGTATTCTATTCAAAATTGCCGCTGTCACATAGAAGACGACATTTGTCAGAGAATATATTAATTTTTTGAATATTTTGAATTATGTACTCGTAAAAACATGTCATTGAAATCAAAATTAGTTTTAATCGAGAAAATCATAAATTTAACATTTTTGGCTGAAAAGAGGAGAAATGTTACTTTTGTATTGACTAAGCAGTTTGAGGAAATCATTAAAAAAAATGTATAATGGCAGATTGTATAAGGTCTATGTTTGTATATGTGCAATTGTTTATTTTTCTTTTATTAACTGGTAGTTGCTTTCTTATTTTTCACAAAATTTTCATTTTTCTTTGTTACAACATCATGAAGTTTAAAAAATAAAATGTTAATTAGTATCAAATTAACATTATAAATATTTAAAGAAACAGTTAATTACAAAAAAAAATATTTTGCAACTATTTTCGAGATCTAGTATAAGCTGCCTACAATTCTTTTTTTACAAATTTTGTATTAAGTATTTTCGTAATAACAATCTGTGAGTGAAGTTATTCCCTAATAACGTTGTGGATTCAAAGTTACATTATCAAGATACAACCAATTAAATTTTCTACAACCTTCATTATTTCAATAAAAATTTTGCAATTTATTAGAAAGCAAAACGAAACTAAAAATTATTTGATTTAAACTCGAAGTGTTATATTTTTATATTGCCCTATGAAAAAGAAAAAATTAAAAACTTATTAGACAGTTGTTCATTTTATCAAGTCAATAAGCCAAAAAATTTACTATTTACGTGTACATTAATTTTAGGAAAATGCGTCGGTGAACAGCACATTAATTAAAAATATACTCACGTGTCGCAGCAAGGATAAACCGCTCTCTCATCCTTCATCCTGGCAACTTCTTCATGAGAATTGCAACTGTAATTATAAAACGACTTTTAAAAAAAATAAGACTGATTCATAATTTGCTTCAGAAATTACCGGATGTTTCGTAAAAACACCGCACGCTCTAAAGCTCCGCCATTTTTAGTCCGGAATTGCGAAACGTCGTTAATACTACTTTAATAACTATATCGTTTTACAAAAATGTTAATGACACGAAAGCCCTTTGGCTTAGCAAGTTAGTTGTATTGACAGAAATAGTACTTAACAAATTATTTGATATAATTTTGAAATAATAATAAATCCTTAAAATATTGACTAACAAACAGATTTTGTAAGTAAAAGTCAATTATTTCATTTGTTCTAATTTCAACAATAGAACACAGTACAGAATTAGGAAACGCTGACTATTCGTCTGACTTTCCTTCATTAAAATAAATGTGAATTTGTGCAATATTCAAATTATTCTAATTTCCCATGTGCTCCACTCCAAAAAAAATGCACCTTTGTTATAATTTTTGGACTTTTAATCATGCACGATGTATTCTACGAGAAAAAAATCAAAACGAACTCTGCGATATAAAATAACTTTTTTTACAGTTGAAACCCCTTAGATCCCTGCTAATTCCGACGCAACTGGCTAGTTTTTGATAAAATTGTACTTCTACACAGCTTCTTGGCGAAGAGTTTGAAATCTGTATCTTTAATGGTTCTTGAGTAACTGATAAAAGAAAACGTGCTTCAGTACCGCTTTTATTGTTTGTAAATGGAATCAATGGAAGTTTATCGCAAGTCGTTGTTACACCCTGTATAACCTATCCCGAGATAATTTAACTCTTACAAAGCCTGAAACATTCGAAGCATCGACAAAAGTGAAGCGTACATAAATTTTACTTGTATTTCGTCTCGCGATTTCAGCAAGGTCACGCCTATGGTGTAGTCGTGTACGTCGACAAGGTAATTAGTCGTTTGTTTGTAGTGAGGTCTATAAACTTAACTCATTGTTTTATTTATATTCATTAACTATTTGTAGGCTAGTCAATTAATTTCTTGACAAATATTAGCAAAAATTATAATGCTTAAGGGCGACACTATTTTTAATTATTTATTTTTATTACTGCCTTAACTTGATTTCGTACACACCAGTGGGTAACTAAAATTGGAATATTCGGGGTGGTTCGCAAGTACATATAGGGTCTAATTTCCAACTAACGGGATGTTAAACTTTGGAATCAATATTTTATTAAAATTGGGTACATTTCGATAACACAAAGAAATCCAAAAGTATTTCCGAAAATAAAATTGATAACTGTTAACCGTTTTACCTGTGACTTCAGGAAAAAGTTTCCAATAAAAGTTGTATAGTCCTTTGAAGGCTGCAAAAATTCGTTTTCAGGAGAAACAACTAAAGATAGCGTACGCAACTTTCACAGACGAAGTTCTTTTAAAAACAGAACGCCCTATATATTTTATATCTTTGAATTGGACGTTTTTTTATTTCAAAAATATGAACAAGTCATATCAACACTAGACATTATGGTTATTCCAATCTACAGCTACCTTCTTATTGTGTTACCACTATTACCTGTATTTACAATTAAATTATAATAAACGGAAATTGATAACTCTTAAATTAAAATTAATTAAAAAAATTGTTATATTTTATTACTATTTTATTATTATCTCTTTATTCGCAAACAAAAGGCCACCTAAAGAAAAAACATGGAATGAATTAGCCTGATTAACATTAAAAGCAAACTGATTTCTTTTATTACAATTTTATTTAAATTAAAATCTGGATCCACATGCTCTCATACTTAATTTGCATCTACTTAAAGTCACTTTCTATTGTAAAAATATATAACCATTACGGATCCCTTATTTCCGTAGGTATTTAAAACCTATTATATACAGCGTGTCCCACTAGTGCGGGAAAGTCCAATATCTATGTTAAAATGAGGAATATATGGATTTTTCTTTTTACTGTGTTGCCACATTTCTCGGAATGTACAAATTAAAAATATATTCAACTATACAGGGTGTTCCACTTTTCTTGGACAGACACCAACTTTGGTTTTTTAAATGGAAACACACATTTTTTATATTTTTCTCGGATTCTACATCAAAAATAAAGGGTACTTTGTGTAGAATAGTTCTATTCAAATATTCAGTTTTTGAGATATCTCGCATGAAAGGTTTTTCTAGTCGATATTGGTTGCTTACATTTTCTGATACTGACAGGTTATACTAATAGCTACTAAGCCCTTTTTTTTATCAGATCTTTAGTGAGGATGACTCTTCCGAATCATGCTCCAAAAACTGACCTGCGTTATACAGGGTGACCAAAATATCATGTCAAAATTGCCAATTGAAAAATTGAAAATCTCGATTTTTTTTAAATGCAACGCCCTGTATATTTTCATACCATGAGATGCAGAATTAAATTCTCTACAACTTTGCTATACCTGCTCCTATACCAAAATTCATTAGTTTTTCATGAAATCTCATTTCTATGAAAAAATGCGATATTTACAAATAGCTTATACAGGTTCGGAAGTGCCCATGGTACATCGGCCGTTACGTGAGAGCGATAAAGTAAGTCATAGAAATGGGTGCGATAGACAAGGATGGTTACATTGAAGACGTTTCATAATCTGAATAGTCACTCCCACTTCTAACCCGAAACGGGCGATGACTATTCAGATTATGAAACGTCTTCACTATAGCCATCCTTGTCTATTGCACGGATTTCTTTACTTTGTCGTTCTCATGTAAAGGCAGATGGACCATGTGGATTTTACAGCCCTGTATGTAAAATAACGTAGTAGGCTCCTGTCACATGATAATCTGGAAAATTTTCGATTCACATAAGGTTTAATAGAAAGGCGACAGTAATAATTGTGAAATGAATTACTCTAAAGAAGAATTAGTAAATAAATAGAATAATTAGTAAAACTCATGGTAACTGTTTATTGGCAAGTTGTATTTGCCAAACTAATAATCCAGATTTACAAAGATATCCTCGTACAAAGTGTTTTGTAAAACTGAAGGAGAGGTTTGAAAGAACAACAAATACAAATTATGAGAAGACGACAAGAGCACATGCATGCAGTCTCCAAAACAGTAAATTAACATCGTGCATTTCTAACAGAAGTAATAAAGACCTAGTTAAATTAGTAATTAACAGGTAACCGCTCAAAATGTCTGCCATTTTTCTATAGATATTGAGCAATTCTACGACGAAAATTGCACACATTTCACACATTTCGCAGCATTTCCGGAGTTAGGGTCAAAAAAGCATTTCTTATCTTTGCCCGTAAATCTTCTACATCTGTCGGAGGAGTTTCATACACCCTGTCTTTTATATAGCCCCATGAAAAAAAAATCAAGACAAGTAAGGTCTGGGGATCGGGGAGGCCATGGAATTGGCTACCTATCCACAAATCATTTAAGTATTCTCTAACCTGAAACAGTTTTTCTATGAATTTACATAACTTACATAATGAGAAAACTTACCGTCAGTGTGGAATGTGCAGGGGCACCATCAAGTTGGAACCACTAACTGTTTAAGTCATCCGGAAGAATATGTCCCTGCAATTGGAACAAGTCGTTTTGTAAAAATTGAAAATACCCATTACCAGTTAAGTTTCCTTCAAAAAAATGTGATCCAATGACATATTCTCCGCATATTCCCGCCCAGACGTTGACTTTAAAGCGATGTTGATGATCGTCTTGTCTTATTAATCTGGGATTATGATCGGCGTAATGGTGATAATTATATCGACTCTCTCGACCAGTATTTGCAAAGGATGACTCGTCAGTAAATAACACTTTTGAAAAAAAAAATCATCTTGCAGCTTTATAGTTGCCCACTCACAAAACTGTACTCGCTTCTGAAAATCTTGCTGTGTTAAGAATTGGTGATGCTCAGAATGATAGGGGTGGAAGTTGTGTTTCTTTAACGTTCTATTAACCACACTTTTGGAAATACTAATTTCATCACTAATTTCTCTGACACTTGTAGATGGATTTTGGACTGCACATTCCAAAATGTCAATTTGACTATCCTGATTACCACATGCGTGTGTTCTTGTTGTCTTCTCATAATTTGCATTTGCCGTTCTTTCAAACCTCTCCTTCAGTTTTACAAAACACTTTGTACGAGGATATCTTTGTAAATCTGGATTATTAGCTTGGTAAATACGACTTGCCAATAAACAGTTACCATGGGCTTCTCTTCTTCTATTAAACCTTTCTTTCTATTAAACCTTATGTGAATCGAAAATTTTCCAGATTATCATTTGACAGGAGCCTACTACGTTATTTTACATATAAGCTATTTGTAAACTTCGCATTTTTTCATAGAAATGAGATTTCATGAAAAACTAATGAATTTTGGTATAGGAGCAGGTATAGCAAAGTTGTAGAGAATTTAATTCTGCATCTCATGGTATGAAAATATACAGGGCGTTGCATTTAAAAAAATCGAGATTTTTCAATTTTTCAATTGGCAATTTTGACATGATATTTTGGTCACCCTGTATAACGCAGGCCAGTTTTTGGAGCATGATTCGGAAGAGTCATCCTTACTAAACATCTGATAAAAAAATGGGCTTAGTAGCTATTAGTATAACCTGTCAGTATCAGAAAATGTAAGCAACCAATATCGACTAGAAAAACCTTTCAAGCGAGATATCTCAAAAACTGTGAATATTTGAATAGAACTATTCTACACAAAGTACCCTTTATTTTTTATGTAGAATCCGAAATAAATATAAAAAATGTATGTTTCCATTTAAAAAACCAAAGTTGGTGTCTGTCCAGGAAAAGTGGAACACCCTGTATAGCTGAATATATTTTTAATTTGTACATTCCGAGAAATGTAGCAACACAATAAAAAGAGAAATCCATATATTCCTCATTTTAACATAGATATTGGACTTTCTCGCGCTAGTGGGACACGCTGTATATGAAGGGTGGTAAGTAAAAATAACTAAAATAACGAATTTTTAGAGTGATAATTGAAAATCATTGAT